GAGCCTGCAGCAGCAGCAGCAGCAGCAGCAGCAGCAGCAGCAGCAGCAGCAGCAGCAGCAGGAACAGCAGGAGCAGGAGTAGCAGCAGCAGCAGCAGCAGCAGCGGCAGCAGTAGGAACAGCAGGAGGAGGAGGAGCAGCAGCAGCAGCAGCAGGAACAGCAGCAGCAGCAGGAGCAGCGGCAACAGTAGCAGCAGCAGCAGGAACAGCAGCAGCAGCAGCAGCAGCAGCAGGAACAGCAGCAAGAGCAGGAGCACCGACAGCAGTAGCAGGTCATGTACTCATACGCCCCCATACACCCTAAACCCTAAACCCTCGTAAACCCTAAGCAACCCTAATCAACCCTAAACCCTCGTAAACACTAAACCCTCGTAAACCCTAAACCCTAAACCCTCGTAAACCCTAAAGCCTCGTAACCCCTAAACCCTCGTAAACCCTAAACCCTAAACCCTCGTAAACCCTAAACCCTAAACCCTCGTAAACCCTAAACCCTAAACCCTCGGGGTACCTGTGCGTCTGTCATGGGTTTCCAATCTGGCTCAAGCAAAACCCTCTTAACCCCTAAACCCTCGTAAACCCTAAACCCGCGTAAACCCTAAACCCTCGTAAACCCTAAACCCTCGTAAACCCTAAACCCTCGTAAACCCTAAACCCTCGGAATACCTGTGCGTCTGTCATGGGGTTCCAGTCTGGCTCAAACAAAACCCTCTTAACCCCTAAACCCTCGTAAACCCTAAACCCTCGTAAACCCTAAACCCTCGTAAACCCTAAACCCTCGGAATACCTGTGCGTCTGTCATGGGGTTCCAATCGGGCTCAAACAAAACCACGCGGGTTGCAGCCGTCAAACTCAACCCCACCCCACCCACTTTTGTTGTTGCTAGCAGAACGGAGATACTCTACACAAATAAATAAATAAATAAATAAATAAATAAATAAATAAATAAATAAATAAATATATAAATAAATATATTAATTAATAAATAAGGAGACAGAAGAAAGTTAAGGAAAAAAAGGAAAAGGAAAAAAGAAAAGAATCAAAAAAAAAT